GGTTCTATTCCCCATTGAAATTGGTAAATAAAGTGATTTCTTCGCTTATTTTTGGTGGAAAAGTTTCTGTAAAAGATTGATTAAACCCCTTATCTAACTTTTTAAAAAGTCTGAAATGTTTTGGTATACGGGTAACTGAACTGTAAATATAAAATCAGCGAGTGTGCAGGTTTCCAACCAGAACTGATTAGTTGCAGACTTATCTTCTAACACCGTCACAGACATCTGGTCTCAAGACACCATAATAAATAGGTAGGAAATGAAACCAAGTTGTAACTCCCCCGAGCTTTATTCACAAAATTTTCCCTTAAAGGCAACTTTGTGAAATTCCCAAATGATGCTGAAATTCACCTTTTGTTTATGGCCAACTTAGCTAATAATTGTTTGGCTCAGTCATTTATTATCGACGATGAACGAAATACAAAAAAAAAATCATGTCCGGATTTCTTTGAGAGAATAACTTTCACCCGGGTCTATTCGTATTTTGTAGCTAAAATCTCTATATCTCTTTTCTATGTTCCCATTATATCAATTAATATAGTAACACGTGATTGGTTGCTCATCTTCTAATCGATCAAAACAAGACGTGACCAGAAACGTAATTTGAGCGTTGGCTGCAATTTTGATTTGTTTATTTTCCAGAGAGCTGCCGCAAAAAAGGGGAAAAAATTGCTATCCGCTAAGTTTTTTAATCACTTCCTTACTCTTTTTTCTGTAATTTTGTAGAATATAAGTAATAAAAATAACACGAATTCTCCAAATTAATTCCGTAAAAGCGGAAGTTAATCGCGTTGATGCATTAAAATCTTATTGCTTTTTCATCTTTTTTTAATAAATGAGAATTTAATGTTTTGTAATTTATATAAAAACAAGAATAATAGTTAGTTTTAATGGTTATTTTTATAAATTCAAACATTTTTCGCCCTTTAAATTTACCTTTTTATAGCCTTTCTAAATGTCATCGTCTAATGAAATGCTCGATTTTATTGCGTAAAAGCTGTATTACCATTTCCTTTTATTTATATATATCTAGTTAATATATTTTTCGAAGGAACTAGATGTACATATATTATCATTTCGATCGCATTTCATAATATAGATATTTTAATATAGCAATCTCTCCTGTTTCTGATTGCAGCAATGTGCGCGATTTACATCTTTTCACTTAAACTTTTGATGATAAATGCATCCTTTTCAGAATTTAAATTGTTTCCACTTTCGATATTATCTTTCGACAGTTATTTTCTTGTAAAATGTAAAAAGAAATCCTTTAAAAATTCAGTTAAAGTAGAATACCTATCAAAGAAAATCGATTCGAAAAATAGTATACATCGAAGAACCGATGAGTAATTTGAAGAAAAACAAGAAAAACAACAACAGCAAGAACAACACGAAGAAGAAAATGTTAAAGAAATGGAAATGACTTGTTGACGCAGTCTTTTAGACACTTGCAGCAAAGATTATGAATTCAAATTTTCATCATCGCCGATCGATAATGGTAATTGTGTAGCGATATTATCATAGTAATGGTCGTCTACTAAATTATTTAACATAAAAGATAATTTTTGGCTTTACGAGATTGACCGACTTCATTTTTCTAAGTTGCAATTTAAGATTTTACTCAATTTATCTCGAATCGTATGCAAGTAATGCCGATAAAACGTAGTAATTTCATCATTAATGACATCAATTTATATAACGTAACATTATTCCATGTAAATTCAAATTATAGTGTGTTAAAGTATTACCGCTGGTCAGAAAATGGTAAATTTTTCGAAAAAAATTAGATAAGAAATAAATTTTTAGGTATATATTTTTGAAAGAGATACATAAATAGAGAAGCAATTCTTTGTTAAATTTCAAAGGAGCAGAAAGATTATCATTATTGCTATAAATGTTAACATGCAAAACTGAAATAGTATAAATTTATGAAAGGAACCAAGACTCGAAAGTGCAAAATACAGGTTTTACATAAAAATTGCATTGGTGTAGCTTATATTTTCAAGTTAAAACCGTGACTCGAAGACTAAGTTTCTGAACAACCCACTCATAGACTAATAATCGGATTTGACCAAAAAGCAGTTTTTAGTAAGTTGGGCCTAGAATATTCGGGTTTAAAATCTCGAATTCTTTACCGATACGCTGCAACCCCAAAGATTTTTTGTTTTTTTTTTTTGCCATGGCTCCGTCGGGAGCTATTTTTAAGGTGTCCAGATTTAAGCTTTTGTAGACTCGTAGACGAATGGTAATCTGGTAAAGTGGAGAAAGTGCAAAAACCGATCAGATTAACGATAATTTCCGCTCTTGTAAACTTCAATTCTCCCATATCTCGGTAACAAAATGATGCATAAAGAGAAACAAGTGCGAGTGAAACGCTGTTTCGTGTCTCGAACAGATTTGTTTCGTCCAAATGGAAGCGAATAAACATTTTTTATCCTACAGTAAAAGAGGGAAAAAACTTTCTAAAGAAAGAAATTTTCTAACTTCTATTCCCCTATAAAAATAAATTGTTTTACAAATTCTTCTGTTTTATCGTTCGTCAAATATTTGTCTAAAGCTTCAGCAAATAAGAATTTCTTAATAAGTGGCAGAAAAATACTAAAATATATGATTTTCCTAATGGATTTCTTGGGCGTTAGTGAAAAATCTTTTGCATAAATTATAAATTATGTTAAAAAAGCATTTATTTAACCTCTAGCGTTCGGTTTCAATGTCAAAACTTTCTATTAAAAAACACCAAAATTTTACTTCTCTTTTATATTTTTTTTTATTCTCTAAATCATTATTTTTGTCATGAAAGTCGTAAAAAATACTTTGACTAGAATCAAAGCCGGAGTGGAATTCTATCAAATTCAAACTTTTTGGAAGAAAAAATTTCCTCGACTATTCCAAATTTTTATTTATTTTATTCTCGTATCGAGCAAGGCGCAAAAAAGAATTTTTCTGCAGTTTTTTCCCCTATTTTTTTTATCCATTTTGTAAAGTATTTTCGGTGTTTTAACATCGTCAGACAGATCAGGGATATCGGGCGGAAAAGTTTGACAAGTTGGATGACATTTATTGATTGGTTAAAATCCGGAAAGTTAGGTAACAAAAAGTATGCTTTTAGCCCGATTTGATGGATTAAGAGGGAGAATATCCTTATTAATATACGTCACCAATCTACTTAATTATTCAGTCGATAGCATTAAAGGATTGAAGGAATTTTCAAGTATTACATCAGCAAAAATTTGCCCTTTTTTGATCCCCCCTCCCCATTATCACCACTCATTAGAAATCAAGCCAATTATGTCATCAGACCAGAAGTTTAAATCATTCGCAAATACACAGGAATTATTTTAATATGAAAATCGGGTAGAAAAATAAACGACCGTTACAATTTGACGTCATCAAAGACCCCCCATAAACTGCTGACGTAATACTTGAATGGTTCCTATGCTCTTATTTTGAACATTTAAGATTTAAAAGTAAAAATAATAATAATTTATACTGGAGCATTTTATGTTTATCACGTTTTATAAGCAGATAATGTATTGGTCGACTCGCCGAAGTGGAATTAATGTCGTCATTAAAGAAAGGATTTAATAACCTTCAACAACAAGCTGGTCGGAAGATTATTAAATATTGAAATATGAAATCCCCTCTTTGATTAATTGTTATGATAGACGATTATGTTATTGTTTGCCGTTATTATCTTACTCGTTACAAAAACATTGTTTTAAGTAGATAGAAATGAGTTTTCATTGTTCCAATTATCCAGACTTAATTGAAATCTGATCTTAAAAAGTGGAATATTTTTTATAAACTCGAAGAATAGAAGCAGGGGGAAGAGAAAAAGCATTTCAACAAAAACTCTTCCATTTGGACTGACGACAAATTCTTTGGAAATGGTCAGATAGACAAGCCACCATCTGTCATCTTTCCATGTCCGGAAGTTAAGACTATCTGTCATTGTGACGTCAAAGTTGAGCTGGATGAATAGAATGTTTGTCACGACATCGACGAACGTTCCCAATACACCGAATAGGAAAAATGACCAGCTTCTGGATATCGAAAAAAAGGGGGTATTGAATATGCGCATATATCTCCTTTTCGAAATATCATAAACGTGAAGAATATTAGGAGCGTGACGCCATATTCGATTCGAGTTTCGATAATCACCCCTCTTTCAGATAAGGACGGTCTTCATACATAACTTATCGTACTATAAACCAGGCTTTTATATCTCCTAGAACTATATTAACGCGATTATTGGAACGGGGCCATCGTTTAAAACCCACCAAAAATTGTTTATATCGCTATTTAAGAGTTATAAAATACGCATTAAAGGGGAAAGAATTTTAATACGTATATTATCATATTACAGACAATAAAATTCATATAATGGGTATACCCATAAAAATTATTATTATTCGAATTTAGAGGGGGGGGGTTTTTATCAAGTCATAAGCTTCTTCGATAATTTATGTCTCGGGGCTTAGAAGAATATAACCTTACGAGGAGTCGGATGTAATTTATGGCCTCCTATGTAGAATTGTATGGTGACACTGGAGGGAGTTGTTAGATAGGAATGCTCGACGTGTCAACTAGAGCTGGTGAGATCTCAGAATATGAGAATAGACCGGTCTGGGGAGCAGTTAAACAGTTTTCGCATCTACGCTTTCATCCTAGAGATTACGGGTAGAAATAATGATATTCCATTATGTTTCCATGGGAATAGAAGGCCTCGCATATTCCGAAAACGAGATTAACCTCTGAAAAATAAAATGAAATAAAACTTCGAAACGAACAGATTACCCTCTCATAAAATTTATAATCACTTTTTATAGCGGCAAATCAATCTAAATCGAAAATAAATATTAAGATATAAAAATGACAAATGCTGTATTCGGATCGTAAAGCAAATACGTGCTTAGAAACTTAATGCGTTTTTTTTTTATTTTATTGGCTTTTCACTTATTAAAAAAATCCATTTATACGATTTTTTTTTATTTTCTTACCTGAGGTATCCCAAAGAGTAAAGTTAATTCTGTAGTCACTCACTTCATAGGAAGCCGTGTAACGTTCGAAACCAGTTGGCGAATACACCTAAGAAGAGGACAATTTCTTCATTAGGTTTTATGCAGTTTAATTTTTTTAAGAAAAGAAAAGAAGAAGAAAAGAAAATAATCTGTTTAAGTAAATGGGTTTGACGAAAAGAAGACAACAAATAACGCTGATTATTTAGGAAACGAGATTGCTGCAACAATTAGATTGACACAGAGTGGTTTAAGTAGGAATTTGCGTGTGGGTTCTGATCTAGCTAAGAGCATCCTCCAAAATCTATCGCGATATTACCGATGGATATATGCTCATAATGATTCCAGATACGGAAGGAGGGTTGATGTCTTTCCATTTCCGTACCATCAGAATCTTCTTTTTTGGCTTGTTTTGGATGAACTTCGATAGTAATTCCGATCGTTTATCGATCGACGGGTAGAGAGATTATTGATCTTATCAAACAAATGCGAAAAATTAACCGGAATCTTCTTCGTATGCGAGTAATTAGAGATCGTTTGTTTGAGGAATCGATTGGTTACGGGTATGCAAAAACCGCATTATGGCGGATGTTGACCGATTCATTGTTTACGAATAACTTCAATCTTCAAACTAAACTTCTTTTCTGTTGTATTACGGAGAACAAATATGCTGCTAGGCACGAATGTGATTAAATTCCTCCGAGTGGCCGAGAAAAAAGTAATTAACAAAATTACTCGTAACAAGAAAATAAGTCAATTTTAATGAAATCTAAGGTTACTGTGAAAGTTTACTTGGATTTAAAAAAAAAAATTCCTATTAAGTTAAGCAGGCACTGCGAAACTCACGAAAATCGCAATAACAAACGTTAGACTGGGGATTGGGTTCGTCATCCTTTTGACTTAAAAAGAAGTAAAAAAAAGAAAAAGTGTTTGCCTAAATCCAGTCTCCTTGGATAAAAAAAAAAATCGGCCACTCGCTCCAACCTGCTGCTCCTATTGATCCATCGAGAGTATCCAGCAATCACATTTGCCTGATGCGGTCACACGAGGGGGGTTTTATTGGTACGGGGGCGACAATCACGTGATTGGTGCTAGTCCGGTTTCCATGACTACATACGGGTGACAAAACTTCCCATTGATTTCCTTCCAATGAAAGTCAATAGGCTGATAAATATTCAGAATGGTAAAGCAAATAAGTTTTCCGATCGAACACGTTAATTAATTAATTGGATAATTTGTAGCTAACAGTAAAAGGCAACACTAACCTCGGTGAAGTTATCAGTAATGAAGCGTTGAATGAGAGCTGTTTTACCGCATTGGCTATCTCCCACCAACACTAACTTGCAATTAACTTCGTCCATTTTCACAGTTCCGTCGGACGGAGCCACGAAAGCACTGATGGCGATCCATTACGTCCATCTACAAAAAAAAAAAAAAAAAAAAGGATAATTAGTATCAAAATTCTGGATAATTATCCTCTCGTTTAACCGTTAAATCATCAAACTTTTTTTTTTTTTACATTTAGAAACTCGAAGGGTTTTCTTTTTAAGTTATTAAGCACTGGAGACATACAATGGGTTGAATTACAATCGAAGGAGAATACAGAAAACTATTCGGTTCGATACTGCTCTGCCTTTATGTATGTGATCCACACACTCCGGAAAAACGAAAAAACAACATGATGTTTTGAAAGAATGTCATCTAAACTAGAATATTCTGACCGGATTTTTCTGATATTTCAACCTTTTTATTATTTAAATTTTTTCGTGTAAAAAATTCAAACGCGTCAGACACGATAATATAAAATATTAAAACATTTTATAAATTTCAATATTTAGTAAAGTAAAACCTGTGTAAACCGGAATTGCACGATATCGAATATTGGCTTGGCAAGTTTCCGTTTTGAACAGGTTTTTTTTAACATAGAAAATCGCTCCGTTCCGATGAATTTTTTCCGTTTAGGCATGTTTTCGTTTTATTCAAGTTTTGTTTTTTGACAGGTTTTTCGGTATTTATTTATTTTTTACGTTCGCTTAGAAGTAAACAAAAATAAATTTCAAAAAAAAAAATTTGAGCTTAAAACCGTAACGAATTATTTAAATTTTACATTAAATATGATAGACAGAACATAAATTTTTAAAATACTGTATTATAGAATTTAATCGTGTAATTTTTTTTATTTTGTTTATAAACTTTCGTTGCATTAAAAGTCTGATTGCATTTTCCCCCTTAGGAAATATCCTTAAAAATATATATAAACTATAAAAAGGAAGGAGACTATCGATGAAAAAACACTAGAAGCTTTAAATGGAATAATAATAAGATATGGGAGAAAATATCTTTTTTTTTCCACGTCTTTCGACCTAGCAACTTTACTTGTTCTTTTTGATCGTGTGAACCTTGGATATAACCACGCTATTCCCTGCGGATCACGTGACTGATTGAGCAACCGAAGTCTAGGGAAATTTCGGAAGTTTTAGCAGACAATTTCGATAGCATTTGTTAAAACTAAAATGAAAAAAAAAGGAGGCGACGATCGTAAAAAAAATAAACAAAAATACGAATTTTCGAAGGCAAGTTTTAAAAATTAAATTCCAATATTACTCAAGAACATTATATAAGTAAAATAAGAAATAAAGAGGTTTTTATTCATTTTCGGCTCTTTTCTTTGAGTGGGGCACTAAGAAGACCTTTTTCAAGTCCATCGTGGATTTGGCTAGGCCAGTGGCGCTGTGGCAGTACCATGAAGCTTGAACCGTTATGAGGTCTCCTTCGCAACAAACAGCATTAAGTCAACATTCAAAAGAAGTTGCTTCGGAATCCTTCAGGCATTAGGAGGCCTGAACCTTAAGCTTCATAGTAGATCCGCCATTGGACTAGGCTCGTGATGGGTGCGGCTGGGTGACGAAGGATAGGATTCGACATACCCCTTTAAAAATCCTTCGGTTTTTCATCATCCAAAATTCGATCTCGCTATCCAAGAGAGGAGTAGGATGACGTCATAAATGTCTCGTTTACCCGGCTGTCTAATGCAAAGGCGAATGTTTATAAGTTAAGTAAATACATTTAAACTTCGCTTTGTTTTCAGTTTTATTTTCAATTTTATTCCGAGTAAAATGCTCCTCTTTTACTTTGTTATCTTTTACGTTAGTCTAATAATTCTGAACAAGTAATAATAAAATGAAGAAAAAGAAAAGAAAAGCTTGTTTGTTGTAATAGTTTTATATACAAGCATTTCTTTTTTTTCTTTCTTATTTTTCTAGAAATTCTATTTATACAGCGCTTCGTTTCTCTTAGAAAATTTTCAAATTGGACAAAACACATGAAAAATTTACTATTATCTCAAAAAACAGGAATGCTGCTGATATAATCACTCATTTAACTTTTATTATTTTCTGTAACTCTTATCAAAATTGTATTTTAGAATAAAATTCAGCGATAATATAAATAAATAAGAGATAATTATCCGTAATGTTTACATATCGTATATACAGGCTACATACATATATTTGTAAATATGCATCTGTGTGTGTAATTTTCTCTTATCTATTTTCGTATCTTTATAGGTCTGGTTTGTTAATAAACGGACTAAAATTTTAATTGATCGTAAAATCTTATTACTGTACATTTGCATAGAATCAGAAAAGATTCATTAACATTCGTTTGCGTGTTACTCTATTGTGTCTGAACGTATTAATACGCAAAACTGAAAAATATATCGTCTCGGCTTTAAAATAAATACACTTAAATATAATTTTGTTAGAAAGAATTCAAAATATTTAAATAAAATTAACACGCGTAAGCGGGGCCGTGAAGAGGGGGGAGCTGGAGATTTTACCCTGTGGACCGCTCTACCCCGCATACAATGCTGTATACCGCACGTGTTTTACGCTTGAAAGCCTTGCGCGTAAAAAATAGTGTTGTATGCAATATTATCATGCGTTAAGTTGACGTTTGCATCTGCTCTCGTATGGCATTCTTTTATTTTTAACCTGTAAAATCTGACTATACTTTATGTTTTCAGATCGTTTTTCTGTAAATTACCAATCAGTATTCTCTTCGCCTTTCGAAAGAAAAAGATTCTACGATCTTTATATGCAAATGGAAGTTATGCATGGGTTTAAATTGAAAGCTGAAGTTTGGAGAAAGTAATAAAAGAATAAAGAATTACCAGAATTATGTTGGTGTGAAATTTTTACGTGTAATTTAAGGAAGTTGTCTTACAATTTTAAAAATAAAATTTCTTCTTCCAATTTATAGATATTAACTTTAAAAAATACATAAATATTTTTATATTATAAATATAAAGAAAACGATGTTAAGTCGTTTCAGCCGAGTTCAATGCATCATTATTAATAGTTACACTCGAATAAAATCCTTAATTTTGAGGTATATTTACAATTTAAATGTATAAATATCTCGAATATAATTATTTTCATTTAAAAGTAAATCTACAATTTAAATTACAAATTTTAAAATCAGAAATTTTTCGTGTTCATAAAAATGATAATTAAATAATGAATATCTAAAAATTCGCTTTCACATTAAATTATAATTTTAAATATATTCTATTAAAATTTTAATTTAATCATTTAAATAATTAAAAACTGCATTGATTACAAGTGCTGCTATAAAGTAATTAAAGAAACGAAGAAGAGAAGAAATTACCTGAATTAGTAAGAAATGTGCACATGGTCGTATACAAGGGGTAAGTATCAATAAGCACAGAAGTGTTCATTTCAATACACACAACAGTCGTACATTATAAAAGAAACAGGACTATTTGCAGCACCCGAACAGCTCGCTTATAAGACGACGTCTGAACAGTTCAGTCACTTCGATGCGGCTCCATCCATTCTGTTAAAGGGTGGTGCACAACACATCACCTGTTTGAATGTGTCACATACAAATAATGTTGTTTACGCAATACACGCAACTGTAATAAGATAAGCTACTTAAATATCAGATTACTTTGTATAATATACAATATAAATGTTTATAACCGTCTTAAGCCATTTATCTAGTTTGGCATCTTATCCAGTGTATTATAGTATTTTTAATTTTCAGTTTTTGGGAATATATAAATGCTGTAAAGCTAATCTTTTCCTTGAAAATGTTTAAGTGTATTTAATTAAAATTTTAATTTCTTAATAATAAATGCGATTTTCTTTTGTATGCGGTTTATAATACAAACACCAAAGTTTGACCAGAAAAGCGGATTTACAGGAACCGAAGCAATTTAGTAAACAACCCAAACAGTACCTAATTAACATTTGTATTATCAAGAGATAACTTAAATCAAATACTCCATTAATTACTTACTTTAAGCTAAATGGAATAAATCATGAGCGGATTTTTATTGTTTTTTATTCTGTCTGGGAGATTTTAATTATTTATTTATATGTTTCAATTGAGTTTTATCGTTATTCATTCTTATTAAGCGAATATTAATATTTATAAAGCTTGAATTTTAGTTGATAAGAAAAAAAAATATGTGTATATATAAAATTAATTTAGCTAAAATGGAAAATAATTAAATTTTCTGATATAAAAGGAAATAAATCGATTTTATGTTTGTTTCTGAACAGAAGCTCTTATCGTTAATAATAAATTTCTCTGTTTAAAATATATACAACAGACTCTCGCTAATCTGGCGCCCTCTCTGTACAAGGAATGGCCAGATTACTGAGAGTTCGTAAACCTAAACCCGTCTACAGACAAAGAATGGTATGACCTGTGTTGCGCTTTTTCATTTCAACATTACGTGCAGTAAAGTGATAAGAATTTAACTGTATTAAATTTAATTTTAAAAGTTTGCTATATATTATGTATTTTAAAAAACACGAATAAGACAGAAATATACAGTATTATAATGGGAGGTATGTTGGATAACTGAGAGGCCGGATTAGCGAGAACGTACTATATATATTTTTTTAAATTATAAGAGATTTTATGGTTTGTTTTTCTAAACTTAGTTTTTCAGGAAAACGTTGTGCGGCAAAGAGATAGCGTACAATAAACTTTATTGTGTTCAAACACACAAAAAAAAATTTAAGGTGCATTCGGTATTTATGTCAGTTATAAAGAATTGTGACGTATAAGAGATAAATTTTAGGATTCGCCCCGATTTTATTCTATATTTCTAGAATTATTTCAAATATTTAATGCATGACTTAAAAATTTTAGATATTTTGAACTGTATTATATATAAAAAGTCAATGGAGATAATTTAAATTTTATAACATTGACATAGACATAATTCTTTTTTTGTAAGTGAAATTAATTATGAATCCACAATATGTTAAAATATTTATAAATGTTTTGAATATCTGTACATTTTTATATGAATATTTTATTCTAAAATATACTGTAAACATATTTTACTTTCTATTTTTTGAAAGGGTATAGACTGAAATCATCCGCTTGTATCTGTAAAACGCAAATACTTGCAGCACTATATGAAATAAGAAATGTAAATAAGTAACTTGAATTATTTACATTTTTGAAAACTTTGATAAGTAAAACCTTTTGTTTATTATAATATACGATAACTAATAACTAATAACTACACGATAACTAATAGGCGGTTGGAATAAAAATCGCCCTTCCGTGAAAATTGATCATCTACATGACATTTTTTTTTTTTTGCTTTGTTACTTGCAAACAAAAATTGATTGTTGATTATTCTGCATCAGTTATTGGTGCACTCTAACCCCTTAATTGGACCAAAAAAAAAAAGTAAAACAGAAAAAACAAACTTGTTGAAATTTATGCAAATGCAATTTCTGCTGTTTACATAAATTTAAACATTAGAATTAATGGATTGGAGTGATGGAAGAAGGTAATGCAACACTCGGAAGATCTGTCAAAGAGGAGACTTTCTGCAGAAAATAGGAACAGGAATGTGGAGAAAATTCGGTAAACTACAAGCGGTGAGGCGGGAACCCAACTTATTATCCACTCATCCACTAGTGGGCCTAGAATTAACATAAAAATTCTTTTAAACATGTTTTTTAAATATAAATTAGGCAGTGTTAGGTGAAATGTTTCCATTTTCGATATACTAAACACCTTTTAATTTCATTGCAATGCATAGAAGCCAGATCATTAATGATATTTAACGATCTTATTCAGATTTGTATGAAGCTGCCGTACGATTACTTATAATAAATTAGTTGTTTCATTCCATTATAATTTATATTATTGTTTGCCGATGTTATCAAATTTCAAAGTTCAAATAATCACAAGACTCATTTCGGACGATAAATTTAGATAAAGTCTCTTCCAGTTACACTGTTAAATAATTAACCATTAATATTAAAACACCATAAAGTTTAAATTATAAAATACTTATAAAAGGTCGCTGTAATGTTTCTGACAGGAGCTGCCATCTGCTGAAAACTGCCAGAATTAATAATATAAATTATATTACATAACTATTGTTTATTTAGTTAAAAATTTAATCATTACTGTTTGTTTGAAGTCTTCAAAATAATTAAAATCGTATAAATAATAATAATAATAATAATCAAGACATTTTAGTCTATTTTCTATGTATTTTTTCAAAATAATAATATAGTATAGATATAAAAGAAATTATTGTTATTGTTGTATCATAAAAACAATAAACACACAAGTAAACTGTAGAGACCTGCATTTTGAGGTATAATTAAATTAATTCTAGCAAGTACAGTTTTAAAATTCAGTTTTAACCTTCTTAAAATCATTTTTTCCCCTACAAATTCCTGGAAGATCGAAAAATAATCTACACATAAGTTAACAGATATACAGGTTACTTCAAAGTATGGAGTTGCGCAGCCATTGCGACAATGAATGCAGGACCGTAATTTCTTTGAGAACTCCACAATTATGTGGTGATTACTTGTACATGACAGAGAACTATGCAGAGTACATAGCCAGATTTGTGTATAAGCTGAATAAGTTGTAGCTTAAAGCCTCGCGTTAAGAGTCTTTAAGTCTACACGGCCTCATATTTTTCATGTATCATTATTTGATATAGAATAACGGCCTGTTATATGTAATAGATTAGGACTACAACAAAATTTCAGCCCTGGATTGATTGATGGAATAAAGCAACGNGCGCGTACAGAGGAGGAGAATGGATGAAACCACCGAAACACTGTGGTATCAGTGTCACATACAGAGTACCAGTTTGCATGTGTACTGGTGTAAATGTGGAATGGCACACACTAGCACTAAAAGATTATGGTACCAGTGGGTGGCACGTACAAAGGAGGAGAATGGATGAAACAACCGAAACACTGTGGTACCAGTTAATAATATAGTATAGATATAAAAGAAATTATTGTTATTGTTGTATCATAAAAACAATAAACACACAAGTAAACTGTAGAGACCTGCATTTTGAGGTATAATTAAATTAATTCTAGCAAGTACAGTTTTAAAATTCAGTTTTAACCTTCTTAAAATCATTTTTTCCCCTACAAATTCCTGGAAGATCGAAAAATAATCTACACATAAGTTAACAGATATACAGGTTACTTCAAAGTATGGAGTTGCGCAGCCATTGCGACAATGAATGCAGGACCGTAATTTCTTTGAGAACTCCACAATTATGTGGTGATTACTTGTACATGACAGAGAACTATGCAGAGTACATAGCCAGATTTGTGTATAAGCTGAATAAGTTGTAGCTTAAAGCCTCGCGTTAAGAGTCTTTAAGTCTACACGGCCTCATATTTTTCATGTATCATTATTTGATATAGAATAACGGCCTGTTATATGTAATAGATTAGGACTACAACAAAATTTCAGCCCTGGATTGATTGATGGAATAAAGCAACGTATCATATATTCCGGAAGGACTTCTATGGGAAATTGGCCCTAATACCCCGTTCGCACCGAGCATTTCGATCTAGATTGTGGCTTAAGTCGGAGAGAGTTCCGCGGTGCGAACGCTCTCGACCGTTTCAATCTCGACTGAAACGAGGCTAAATCGCGATCGACTGGAGAGAGTTCTCGAAACTAGATCCAGTTATAAGAGAGATCCCACAATCCCACGCGCGCGAGAAAATACAAGATGGCTGCTGAACACGTGTCCGGTTATCGACAGAAAAATAAAAAAGACATCTGGAGAGACGATGACATCTGTTTATTATTAGATATACGGCAAGAAAAAGTATTTATTTCTAACCAAAACTTCCATTTTGTTTGTTGGTGTTCGTGACTTACCGCGTAGTTATGTCAATTTTATCATCGCGTGTAATAGCCGGGTTCTTCTCAAGCGAGTTACCTGTGCGAACAGCACGACGTTCCACTGGCGACAGTCACAATCCAGATTGTGGGTAAATCGAGATCGAAGTGAGTCGTGGATTGTGTGCGAACGGGGTATAATTTATGTGTTAAACACCTGGAAAACTCCATGTGGCCAGCTCGTTGGTCAGGGTTCGAACGTATGAACCAGTGTCGTCCATTCGGCCACTGGTGGGCCCTAAGTTTAGCCCTTGCAGAGGGCAGCCTGCCGCTGCAAATTCTATATAACAAGTTATTTCAATATTAGTGTTAACACTTTTTTAAGCATCTTGTATTTTATTTAATGAAAAATTATAATTTTTCAATGCAATCTGTTGTATATTTTTAACAGAAACACTTTTATTTATAAAAAGAAAATCAAATAATTCGTACTAAAATGGAGATCAACAAGTAGCGTAATTGTTAAATATATATACTGTATATAGAAACTAGAAACGTTAATTATAATTTAGTTTTAAAATTGTTTGCTTACTGATGATACAGATTTAAATAATATATTTATTTATTTTAA